CGCACAGCCACTTGAGCTACTGTATAGCATCGTGGGGCAGTACATATAAAACTCATTTGAAATGTATTAGCCACCTGCAAAAGAGGGCAGTCCGGAATATTACACACTCAAACAGGACGGATACTGCAAAACCACTGTTTCAAATGATGTGTGTACTTCCACTGGACTCTGTTCACGTGTCTAGTGTTGCTGATATAGTGCATGGGATAATAAAACATGATGACCCATTCCCATTAAGCACCTTTACGTTACCCGCGCGCTGTACAAGAGCTGCAGCGAATCACTTTTTTAATTTACCAGTAGCCAGAAATGCCTACTGTCGAAGGCTCATAGAATTTTATGGCACTCTCATATGGATTGCGATACCGACTGATGTGAAAGAGGCTAGAAATTTTCCATTGGCCATGAAGCATGCACTTCATGCGAACTTTCTAAATAATACGTCTACATAGTCATTTAGTATTTTTATTATTATTATTATGATTAGTATTATTCTAGTGCTATTATTATTCTGTGCTATAAGTAGCTATGTTCTGCGCTATGTTTCTTTGTATAGTTCAGTCATATGTTTTTTGCTTTTTTCTGTTTCAAACATTGTATCCAGGTTGATGTCCTTTGTCGCTGTGTAACCGCTTGCGCAAGTATGTAGGTATGTCACACAATTGGTGCCTCTACTAGCCAGTTAGGCTATGGGACCAAACAAGTGTTTGCAAAGTTTTTTGTTACATGGATGTGAAAGTTACAATAAAAGAAAATCTCATTCAGATATGCAGTAGCCTTCCAGTTCAAAGATTGTGTGCAGGCAGTGTAAGGTGTATACTTTGCGGCAGCTGTATTTAACGTATTTTCCCTTATACATATGCCCCTTTTGGGGCCCTTAGGGTATTTCTAGCCAATGAATACATTTTGGAAAAGCCCAAGAGCATTATGACTGTGAACAAGACACATAGCCGGGGGTTGCTGCACACCGAAATGCTCAGTTTTGCTGGGACCTCCTGTACCTCCTCTCCCACCTTTGACGTTTTGCCATGCCTTCCCTCCATCAGTAGTTGCGAGCGAAAGAAAATCATGGCTACATCCCTGGTGTGAACTATAAAAACATGGGCTTGTTTTTTTTTTTGCACTTATCAAAGCCGACCTGTGTGTCTGTTAACATGCAAAAACACCAGAAATAAATATTCTTTATTTCATTTACAGCATGCAAGTACCGCTGATTGGCCGAAGGAGTGTACGGAAAAAGTGAACAAACCTCCAAGGCACAAAGAAGAGGGTTCATGAGGCTTCTCTCCTTTACATGGAAAGGCTATGTAGTATGCACCATGCATTGGGTTGCACGTTTTGGATACATGACGGGCAAAAACTAGGCAGCTCTACGTTGACTATTTCTAGTTTCACAATACAAAATGTACATGTTCAAGACTTTAGTTCAAAAATACTAGCTGATAAATGCTAAGTTGAGACGATCACCTTCCGGTAATGTTTTCTTGTGCATTCGTGTTCCTTATGCAACCCCTTCTTATATCCCCATTCCCATATGGTGCCATTTAAAAAGTTTTCAGATTGAATAATTAAGCAGCTCGTCCAAGTCAGTAGTATCAATATGGACCAGATTTAGGGGAAACCCCCAAGGTGGAGTAAGATTCTGCAAAGGAAAGTTTGACATCCACATTTAGGTGGATGTCAAACTTTCCTTTGCAGTATCAATATGTATGCCTAAAGCGTTTCACTGAGGGGGTAGTTCCCATAGTTGCCCTAAAAAAAAAGGCCAGTTTGTTTGCCCAGCCTCTACATCAACCGGTCACAGCTGTTGCAGCAGTCTTGATGAAATTGCTCTACTGTGTAGGTAACCATACTTCACATTTTCACAGTAACCTTTTTGTGCACATTACGCATTCTCTCACATTTGGTTTATTTATAGTCTATGGATATTACAAGCACGCTATGAATACATCTTGAAATGACCACCCGAAAAAATGTACTAACATGCTTTCACATACAACAGGTACTATATTAAAATGTCAAAAGGAAAGTATAGAAGCAAGCACGTCCGTAGCAAGTACAGAAAGAATGCAACTTTACAAACAGTTTTATACACATAGATTGAAAGCAGAAGCCTAAAAACATACTTTCACACACTCTCTGAATTGAGAGTACCACCAACACAAAAAATTACGGCTGCATTTATACACATACACAGCCATTGCCAATGTCACAATTACATGACTATAATGAAGTCTAGTATAAAACATACCATATTAATCTTAAAAGCTCTAAACATTCTAAAAATTATTCACAAAGATGTCCGAACACTGTGTTTAGGCCAAAGTTATGAATGGTAAAATAGTCTTGCAACAATTGCAATTTTTCAAAAAATAATGAAAAAAATCACCGAGTGGTCCATCTCTACCGTTTCCCCCGATCCTTTCCTAGCAGTCAAATCTCCCGTCAATGGCAGAGTGACAGCACACTATAGGCGTCTTCTTTTCGGAAAAGGCTTCAAAGACGAGCATCCTTTTGTCGGTGAGCCCCGAATGTAAAGGCCAGAACTCTGTGGCACAGATTCAGCCAGCTTACGGAAGGTGGCTTGCAATGAGCCCCTAGCCTCCACCAGTGTTTGAACGTCATGGCAGCAGTAAATGAGGGAACTGCACTTTTCCAATTCCTCGGTTATACTTTTGTGTAGCTCTGACACTGAGAGGGCTGCTGTCCCAGGAAACATAGTAACCCCAGGCTGTAAAGGCACTTCACAAAAGCTGGTCTCATTGACAAAGGGAATGTCTGACTCTGATGCTGCTGTACCAAGATCCTGTGAAGACACTTCAGAAGGGCTGGGCTGATTGACAAGGGGAATCTCGGAACTTGTTTCAGATTCTGGACAGCTTCCAAGAGTAATTTGCGGTCGATTGAGGTAACTCTGCGGAAGAGAGGAAAAGCCCCACCTGTCGCTGTACTTAAAAACAACACAAAAGTGCTTGCATGGGTACTTGTGCTTCCTGAAATCAGGGCAGGTACACGATGGCTTGGTGAAGTCGACAGTGTACAGATCATCACTTCTTTCAGAATGAACCGTAAACACACCTTCAACGAGGAGCTCTTCCATATCTGTGGGCGTGTATTCCTCTGCGTTAACGAGCCATCTCAGCATATGCTTAACGATACCATGAGGCCGGTTGTGCAGGTATGCAGGAACATTTTCACTGTACTGTCTGTACGCTAATGACTGCCTCCTTGCTGCCTCATGGAATTTTGCTTCTTTGTCGGGAAGGTAGCCATTAAAGACAGTCATGATCAGGGATGTTAACGACCGTTTCTCGCTGGAACTTTTCACGTACTGTGCCTTCAACACGCGGTTTTGGGCCTCAATGCCGTTATTTGTGGTCAACACAACGTCAAACTCCAGCCTGTAAGATATGACCCACAGCTCCTTTACTGACAGTCACACTTCAAAGTAACTGCGGAATCTTTCGTTTTTCCAATACTTGGAGTCAACAAGGACTTCAACCACTTTGTAAAAGTCATGCTGATTTGAAGCACTGGCTACGTGTTTCATGAGTCTCAGGGCCTCATCTGGATTGGATATGCTGTTTTCTTTCCTGCGCAGCCACCTCTGCCATGCCTGTAGTCTATGGAAGTCACAGATGGAGATTTGACTCTCTGGAAACACTTGCTTGATGGTACTTATTTCTGCCTTGCTATAATCCACCATCCAGTATTGTGGGGACCAGTTGTCACACCACTGCTTGAAACCATCTAAAGCCTCAGCGATACAGTGGGCCGTCTCGAACTGTATGATAAACACACCAGCTGGTGTGTATCCCGACGGTGTTTTCACGACAAGCAAGAAAAGTGGTAGGGCATAGTCAGTCGTCTTGTGCGTTGCGTCCAGGCAAACTACTGAGCCTACGTACTTTTTAAGCATGCTCCTCATGAATTTTGTTTGGAAGCAAAACAGCAACGTGTCTTCACACTCGCTGGCAACGCCCTCTTCCACGTTGTCCGAGTCGCTGTTACCCACGAAGCTGCGTGCTGCATACGGCCGATAGACAACGGAGGATTCGGTTTGCTCACCCCTGATCTTTTCAATTATAATTCTAGCATTCTCTTGATCAACTGTGCTGAAGCGGTCTTTCTTAAGCACAGCTTGGATCTGGTTGCTGATGTCAAGATGTGTTGGGAAAAAGGCCCTGCAGCTGCTATCAGGCTTCTCCTTGTTCGCAAAAAGTACGTCGTGCACATAATAGTGAAGGCAATTTTTCACATCTGATACAGAAGTAATGCCTTCTCTTGCCAACATCTGAATTCGCTTAGCAACGCTCTTGTCCATGTTTTGGCTGAAAGCTTCCATGTCCTCGAAACCATGGTTTTGATAGGAACTGCAGTCGGCACTCCTAACATATACCCGCGTCTCTTTGGCCACAGTCTGCTGCTCTGCGTCAAGTGCCTCCTGCAGCTCCTTGGCCTTGTCGGCTTGCAGACGACCCTCTCTTGTCTGTCCGCATGGCTGGGGCACATCCACCTAGAAAGCAGGCACTGTTAAGTACACAGATCATATTTAATGGTTTCAAACAGTGCGACAAGATGACGGCGAAGTCAAGATGAGACATAAGACAGCGCTGAACTAATAGCTAGAAGTATGTTTCCACTATTGCCAGTATGTATACATGTGGGAAATAGCAAAATAAGAGCGCAAAGCACAAAACACATGCAGTCTTGGCTTAGATGCCGAGACTGTATGCGTTGTGCTCATTTTATCTTTCACACTCTGTTTATCTTGCTATTTCCCACGTATATACATACTGGCAATGGTGGAAATATAGAGCGCTGTCTTCTGTCTCATCCTGTCTCATCTTGATTTTGCCCTCATCTTTTTGCCCTGCTTGAAACCATAATGATCTTCAACCAACTGTGTTGAGTCGGATTGCACAATCATAAATGACATGATAAAGGTCCCCGGAAATTAATCTGGAATTATTTTTTACTTCTCATTGCACATTACATACCTGGAAATCTGGGTACAACTCAATCCACTTCAAATTCATTGTTGCTGCGCACCGCTTCTTCTTTGTGCCTTGGAGGTTCACCCGCTTCTTCTCGTACACCTCCTTCTGCCAGTCAGTGGTACTTGAACTCTGTAAATGAAGTTAACAATATTTCTCGTGTAAACTTGTAGTAACTTAAAGTAAACCTTCTTTACACTGCCTACACACAATCTTTGAACTGGAAGACTGCTGGATATGTGCATGAGATTGAAACTTTTGGAAGTGAATCACCATGTAACATACCTGTTCTTTTTTTTTCTCCTGAGTTTTCTTGTAGTACTCCGTTTCTAATATGCACACTCTGACGGTTTCCTTGACAACTCGGAACGGCACATTGTCCACAGAGATTCGAGATCCGCAGTGGATCATGGAGAAGACGACTTTGGCTGAAAATAAACAATAAAGATGATTTAATGAAGGCACCTAGTTTTATGCATGGCAGAGGGCAATATCAAATCTTGTTTTAGTTTTTGTGTAATGGCAGCAAAAAAACTTTAAGATGCGCTGCCTCTGGCAAGAAATTCTGGCTTTCGTCAACAAGAATAATAAATATAATTCTCATTATTATTATTAATAACTACCCAGACTTTTTATGCGGTTAAGTTACAACTTACAAGCAGCCCCAACACGTTACAGTTTGGTTGGGCCTTGGGATTTTAATATAATTGGGCAAAAAAACTCCACCCTGACCCTTCAGCTTCTCATATAGAGCGTTCAACATCAGGCCCGCCTTTCTCTAGACGTCTAATTCACACTTCCTGGAGGACCACGGATGGCACCCACGGCCGTGTCACAATTAGCTTGCTAGCGCGGTGCTAATCATTACTAAAACCGAAAAAATACAGTTCTGGTACAACTGAATAACTTGGGGCGCTAAGCAACGGGGACCAAAGAAACACGCAGACACAGACAAGGCGCCAATTACAGCTCCAATAACGTTTATAGAATCTCTGAAGATCGGGTCATGTCCCGGTAATCCGAACAATACTTCACTCACACCGAAATTAATCGGTTCCAGGGGAACTGTGAACCGGTAACGAAAACAATGATACCTAACCCTAACTTTAAAAGGGCGAAAACCAATAACCGCAACTGAGAAGAAGCCTGTCCTGCCGTGTCCCTAGTTGGTTTAAATTACTACTGCGTGTTTCAATGCTAGATCTACGCGCAGATCAATACATTAAGAAGCAATCGAGACATCCTCACATTTAGACGACTTGCTCAGGTCTCTTGATGTCCGCACAGCATACCTCTCGTCGACGGCAGCCAGGGACCTCTCAAAAAGCTTTAGCTCTTCGTCTGACTTCAGGTACCCATGAGAGTAGCCGTCGTCCTGACGTAATCCTTGGAGGTACTTTTCGATCTCCTTTTGTCGGTCAGGAGGCTCGCTCATCGTTGCGTTCCGATTTTCCGGGCACTTAACAAGACAGTGAACGCTTCTCGCTTACGTGGAGTGTACGCCACCACAGCGACCGCTAGATGGATGGATGAATGAATATGGCTGTACCCTTTAGATCGGGCGGTGGCTAGTGCCACCAAGCCGTCAAACCTAATGAACCAAAAACTATATTTATTTTTTTTCCTTAAAAAGTGAGTTTGAGGATTCGTACTTTGCAGTGAAGAGTTTAGTTTTCACTCTTGCCTTGACTTTAGCCACCAATCAGATAACCTCCTTCTAGTTAAGTCTACCCGTTTAAAGTTTATTTTGCACTCCCGTTCCCTAAGCCCCAGTGCTTTGAAAAACTCTGCGCCATCATCCTGAACTATAGGGTGAAGCCCTTTACAGAACATTATCAAGTGTTCGGCAGTTTTTTCTTCCTCTCCACACGCACTGCATACCGTGTCTACCCCTTCAAATTTGGCCCGATATGTCTTGATTCGCAGCACTCCCGTCCTGGCCTCAAACAGTAGAGAACTACCCCGAGTATTATCATAGATCCTTTCCTAGGCAATTTCCTGCTTAAAAGTTAGATAGATCTCTAGTGCGGACTTCTTAATCATGCCCATTCTCCACATGTCAGTCTCCGTTTCTTTCACTTTCTTCTTAACCGATAGTTCTTTTTGGTTTGGCCATCTGCTGTTTTCTAAGTATTTACCAGTCAACTTCCTGGTTCGCTTCCTCCATTTTGTATCGACGTTCTTCATGTACAAGTAGCTGAAAACCTTCCTAGCCCAACGCTCTTCCGCCATTTCTCTCAATCGCTCCTCAAATTTTATCTTGCTGCTAGCTTCCCTGCCCTCAAATGATGTCCATCCCATATCACCTTGTACTCCCTGATTTGGTGTATTCCCGTGAGCTCCTAAAGCAAGCCTACCTATTCCACGTTGCTTAATTTCTAATCTTGCTTGAACTTCTGATCTCATGCACAAGACCGCATTGCCGAACGTCAGCCCAGGAACCATGACCCCTTTGCATATTCCTCTCACAACATCATACCTATTGTAATTCCACAGTGCCCTATTTTTCATGACTGCTGCATTCCTGTTACCTTTAGTCGTCACGTATATTTCGTGTTCCCTCAGATACTCGGTCCCATTGCTTATCCATACGCCCAGATATTTGTATTTATCTGTTATCTCTAGCGTGACCTCCTGTATTCTAAGCTCACTACCTTCGTTGTCATTGAAAATCATGACTGCTGATTTTTCCTTACTGAATCTAAAATCTAACCTATCTCCCTCATTACCGCAGATGTCCATCAATCTCTGCAAATCTTCCTTGTTGTTGGCCATTAGCACTATATCATCTGCGTACATTATTGCTGGTAGTGCCTGATCAATAAGTTTTCCTTGTTTGACTAAAGAGAGGTCGAAGCCCAGTCCACTTCCCTCTAATTGTGCCTCCAATCCTTGCAGGTACATCATGAATAATAAGGGTGACAGGGGGCACCCCTGCCTAAGCCCCCGTTTTACCTCTGCAGGCTTGGATACCTGTTTTTCCCACTTTATAACTACCTTGTTACCTTTATAGATACCCTTTAAAAGATTAGTGACTACATGTTCCACGCCTAGTGTGTCCAGTATTCCCCACAATTCCTCTTGAACCACGCTATCGTACGCTCCCTTGATATCCAAAAATGCTAGCCACAGGGGCCTGTGTTCCTTTTCTGCTATTTCGATGCACTGCGTCAGTGAGAACAGATTATCTTCCAACCTCCTGTGTTTCCGAAACCCATTCTGCAGTTCCGCCAGCACCCCCTCATCCTCTATCCACGCCTGCACTCTTTCCTTTATAATCTGCATCGCCAGCCTGTAGACCACTGATGTAACTGTTATAGGATGGTAGTTGTTTATGTCAGCTTTGTCCCCCTTTCCTTTATAGATCATGCTCATCCTGCTAACTTTCTATCCATCGGGAACTTCACCATCGATTATTATTGTGCTCACTGCCTCTCTCAAAGCCTGCTTAGACTTAGGACCTAATGTCTTTATCAGCCTAATTGGAATGCCATCTGGGCCTGTTGATATACTACTAGGAACCCTTTTTTCAGCCCTTTCCCACTCTTGTGAAAATGGAGCCATTGCACCACTTGATTCGCCCTTGTCTATTGTGGTGCATAAAGTACTTCTTTGTTGAAATTTTTCTGTCACCCTTGTTCTTATACATTCGATAGCTTCGTCCCCTTCCAGCCTAGCACCTTGGGTTGTAGTTATAAAACTCTGCTCTAGGCTCGTCTCATTTCTTAGGGAGTTTAGATGGTTCCAAAATTTCGCAGCTGCCTTTATATCTTTTTTTATGTACTTCTGTCAGCCACTGAGCTCCCTTCCTTCTAATCTTTTCATTGATCAGAAGGGATGCATCCTTTCAACAGCTTAGAAAGGTTGCCCATTTTATTTCAACATCATCTGTCGGTTCACCCCGCTGCTTAGCATGTCTGTGTTTCCTAGAGGCTTCCTGACGTTTTGCTATGGCTCTCTTAACTTCCTCATCCCACCAACTTTTGGGTTTGGTGCGGTTCGCGTCGACCGCGTACCGCGCTGTCAAACGGAGAGAAAGAGAGACAGAGAGAGAAAAAAAAAAGAAAATGGTGGCTACGTCATCGCAGCGAGGCCCCGCCCTGCACGGATTTGTTGTGACACGGCCGGGCTAGAGAGCGATCGGCGCGCTCCGCGCGCTCTCATACGGCCTTCGCAAGAGGCCTAGTTCCTGCCTGCGGCCGCTGCTAGGAGCTGGCGCTGCGGGCCAACCCTGCGGACGCGCTCGTCTACCACTCCGCGCGCGGGCGAGCTATGCGCGGCCTCTGCTCTTCTTTTTTTTATTTTTCACTACAATCACCGCTACTGGCGTACGCAGAAGGGGGGTTAAAGGGGGCCGGGTAGGAAGAATCAAGCGAAGACTGCGTGCCCATCCCCGAATAATGGTTTCAGATCTTCGGCTGATTATTTGTGTCGCACGCTACGCACCAGCCCACGGCCGGGCTAGAGAGCGGCGCCGCGCGCGCTACAGCGCGCGCCGCTTTCTCTCTAGCCCGGCCGTGACCAGCCATACGCGACTTCGATGTATGTTCTCAAAGCGACGATGAGCCATTTTGCAATTTCTCTGAAGAAATTAATGAAATAATTACAAAATTCGACAGAACGTGGAATCGCCCTAAATTTTTAGTGTATCGCTAATAAATTACAAGCTTTGGCTTTTTTCTGTTGTGTGGTTTAATTTTTGTGTACTTTTTTGGTCTTTCACGCTGCCCTCCCTGCCCCCCCCTCCCCCTTTTCTGAACTTAAATCCTAAGTACTCCGCTATCGTGGGCGCCCGCCATCGGGTGCAACAAACAGAATTGCTGCAAAATTTTGCTCTCAGCGCAGCGTGATTGATTCGCCTTGGCTAGTTTCAATGTTTCGGTTTCATATGCAGGTTGAAGTACTTAGCGGCGTACTCTAAAAATCATAGGTTACGACTTAAAACTTGAAGAGCGTTAGTTAGAAATATTTAAAAACGCATGCCGAAGAAAAAGCATCGGGGATAATCTGTGAACTGAAAGGCACCAGGCAAACTGGAAACGAGTTTATTAGTTTATTATATGGAAACGAGTTCGAGCACCAGAAAAATTATCTTCGGCGTGACAGAACAGTCTCGCACAAAAGAAACGTTGTTCGAGCTGGAGAAGCTTCACAGTCGAAAGTGCTTCCTCGACGGCTTATGTGTATAGTTCATGTGCTTTTCATTGTCGTCGGTGACTCGAGTGGAGTGATTCACTCAAAGGATCCTGAAGAATTTGTCAGCAATCAAACTTGCTGACCGTCTTCCGTGACTATTGTCAACACTTTCGGGGCAGTTCAGCAGAGGT